GGAAAAAAAAAAAAAAAAAAAAAAAAGAATAGGGCAGTAGACCAGATTGAGGCAAAGGAGCAGGTGGTGCCAGGAGCTTAGAAAAGAGCGTTCTGGGCCTAGTGTCTCAGAGCGGGGCCAGGCACACCTGCTGCATCATCACACACCTGCCGCGAGAGGGTTCTCTTGTGCTGTCTTCTTGGATTCTGATTTGACTCTGAGCTTGACAGTGGCTGAAGAGAAAAGGAAAGCTGCAGTGGCCATCAAGGGCTTTGGAGACACCTGTGCTGAAAGGAATTGAAGCGCAGTTGGCTTTGAAAGCATTGCCTCTCTGGGGCTTTATCAGGGGACAATTGTAACTACAGTCAGTGCCAGCCTCTACACCACTCCCACGGTGCTAATTTGGGAATGTTCTTTCCCACAGTGACCTTCACCAAAAGCCAAGGGCAGACCCCAAATGCAACCTGTTCTGGACAGATCTGCAAGGGACCAGACAGGATAGTCCTGGGAGGCAGCTCCCTACTGGCCCAGGCTGATCCTGGGAAAGCACAGACTAGCCTGAGTCCCGGCAGGGACTCCTCCCTCCTTCAGCTGTCCTGCCTGAAATCGGACGCCCCTCGTTGGGACATTTGATAAAATTGGACAGCAGACGGTTGGAGTGACCCCCTCTGGCAGGAGTCTGAGTGGGGTGTTCTGTGGGGCTGGTTGACGTAGATCCGGAAAGTGGAGGCCCAGAAGTGGGGCCAACGTCCTTCCTGGTAGTCAAGGAGCGTGACCACACCCACCTGGGAGGCCCTGGGGAGGCCCCAGGGGCCAAGGTGGCCTCTTAGGGACAGTGCTGCCTCTGCCCCAGGTCGTGAACAAACCATCGGGTGGCCCCAAAGTGTCTCCAGAGTGCCTTAGGCCTGGCTGCAGTGCAGGGAAGCTTTCAGGGAAGGTCAGCTTGTACAGTACTGCTCTGTGGAGGCCACCAGCCTCTGACGGGACCCGGTACCCTGGGACATCCTTCTGATCAGCATCACTTCTATTCCACTCTCCTCTGACACTCACCTCCATGAGCCCAGCTCCTTTCTGGGTGGAGTTGTGCTCTGACCACGCCACGCGGTTTCTCCTTCCATCTGCCGTCTCTCCCGCTAGACTGCATTCTGCTTTGCAGGCAAAGGTGGCGTCTGTCTTCTCCTTTTCTGGAATGTCCCAGGTGCACCTCAAATGTTTGAGAGTCAACGAGCACATGAATGAGGGGGTGGGTGTGTGTATGTGAGTGTGTGGTCTTAGCATGTAGAGTTACACCCTTGCCCTTCCTGGAAGGCCTGAGTGTTGTGGTGAGAACACACCTGTCGTCTTGCCCTTGTGCTGCCCCCTTGGCTGGCAGGGTCCACCCAGCTGTCGCCCCAACCTGGGAGAGCGCCAGAGACCCTTTCCTTGCTACCAGCCCCACACGCACGCACCCTTTTATCTAAACCACTGCACAAGCTCCTTTTAGCCTTTCTTCAGCTTTGCAGAACATAAGCCTAAAAAGCATGGGGTCATTTAACATGTGTGTACCCCCCAGCACTCGGGCCCCATCTGGGCTCCCATGGCGAGCTTGCCTGTTGTCAGGTGGGTGTCATGGTCCCAGAGCACCCAGCCCGCTGTCCCCTGGGCTCCTCACAGGCAGGACCAGGTTCCCTTTCCAGCCCTGCTCATTGTCCAGAGAGGCCTGAGGCCACGGTAGGAGCACAGGCAGCCGGGGTTGGCTCCCTGCCCTGCCCCCGATCAGCCATGGACCCTCAGACTCTCGACTGTGAAACAAGGATAATGTCTTGTCATCAGGGTGTGTGAGGGCCCTTGCCTGGCCCATGGGGAGCTGCCAGCACGGGCTGCTGCAGGTAACCTCCTTCCATAGGGTTGGCTTTTTCTCACTTGAAAATTTAACACCCTCCCTCGATGCTTTGGCCACACATCTGCCCTAATGCCAGTGAGCGGTTTTGTTTTCAAGGTGTCGTACGCTCGCCCGAGCTCAGAGGTCATCAAAGATGCCAACTTGTACATCAGCGGGCTTCCGAGGAACATGACCCAGAAGGATGTGGAGGACATGTTCTCTCGGTTTGGGCGGATCATCAACTCCCGGGTCCTCGTGGATCAGACCACAGGTACGGCGGGTGGCCCAGGATACGGCGAGGTTTTCCTCCAGGCAGGGGCTGGGTCTCCTAGGGAAGACAGATCACTGTCATTAGTTATTCCAGCAATGAGGACAGAATCAAAATGAGAAGACGTTGGCTTTTGTTGAATGAGGCTGGGGAGGTTAAGTGGCATAAAAGCAGCCCTGACATAAAAGCTTAGGCCTGTTATGGTGAAAACACCAAGAGATTCTGGCACTTCCTATAGGCACCCACACGTCCTAGCCTGGACTACGAATGTTGCCGTTCTTACTGCAGGCAGAGGTGTGCTGCGTGAGACAGTCTTTAGCTGAGGTCCAGAGTCCCCACCTTTCATTACCCCAGAGCTCCAAGGGTGAATGTTTCTGAGGAGCTATTCTTCAGTCTTCATGACTTGGATACCGTGCCCCCCTCGGGTAGCACAAAGCTCAGAGCTCAAAGGCAGTGACTTCCTCTCTCAGGCAATCCTGGCCACTTTGCCAGCCCCTCTCAGGTCGTCTCAGTTCAGGACACAAGCAGCTTGGGCGATGGGCTTTGCATAAAGCAGTAAGGCACCGCCAAGCTGAGCCCTGCGTACCCCGGAAGCAGCCCCTCACTGCGGCCACCGGCCCCACTGGGGTCGGGCTGGCCCCGCCCAGCCCTGTGTGTGGCTCTGTCTGGGGAGCAGCGAACTCAGGCCGCCCTGCTTTAGGGCCCTTCATCTCTGTTCTCAGCAGGAGTGGGAATTTACTGACCAACTAGCAAAAAAGATTACTGCTCAGGGAGCTCAGCGAAGCCAGTGGAATTGTCTGTGGTTGGTTTTTATGTTCTTCCAGCACAGAGCGTGTTCACCACCCCCCTTGGCTGAGGTAGTCAGACACACACTGGGTGGTCGGGCCAGAGCGGTCGTGGCTCCGAGGTGACCTCCCCCGGGAGGCTGCAGAGCCACACAAGAGCAGGTGGGCAGGGTATCCTGGCCCATGACAGATGGGGGTGGAGGTGCATGCGTGTTTTCCTACATCCCCTCTAAGCTGTGTGCTCTGGGGCCCACAGTCTTGTCACCTGCACTCCCTTGTCCTGTCCCAGCTGTGGAAGCTCGTTTTGGCATGGGCTGGCCCTACGTGCTGCCCAGGCTGCGGTCCTGGGCTGCGGCCCGGCCTGGAGACGAGTGGACAGCTTGAGTCTCCCAGGGGCCTGAGGAGAAGGGGCTTCTGGACCCCAGGCTCTGCTGGAGGGACACAGACTCCACCCACCCGGCCTCCTTTCTGCCCCTCTGCTCTGGGCCGGGGGATGGGCGTGAGGTAAAGATGCCGTTTACTTGGTGTAAACCCCTGTTCTGTGCCAGAAGAGCTTCCCGTGGTCCCTAAAGTTCCCCTTACTTATCTTCAAATGCCAGTTGAGAGAGTGATCCCGTCGGCTGGTCAGCACATGTATTTATCCCCAGCCCCACCTGCACAGAAGTGCCTGAGTGGGCCACCTGGAGACCTGGCGGGGGTGACAGTGCTGGCCCGTATTCTGCCTCCACGGCCCTGCTTTTCTTGACCCTATACAGACTGCTATGCCTCTGCTCGTCTCTGTCCAGCCCAGCACCGCTGCGCAGGGCCCAGCTCTCAAGTTGGAGTCCACCCACCTCGAGAACGCACCCCCTGCCACGTAGCTTTTGTCTGCATCATCCTGAGGGAGGTCTCTCCTGCAGACAGTTCCCTCACCCCTTTGCTGGGACTTTGCCTCCTTTCCCTCTGCAAAGCTGGTGTCTCCTAGAGTTTGGGGGCACCTCAGGGTTGTGCCCTCAGGCCTCCCCACCAGCTTCTGCCACTTAGGCGAGGGGACAGGGTCCCTACCCCACACCTCTGTCTGTGTTCAGGAGCTTTGCGAGACGGTGGGGGGGGGGACGGAAGCCGTGAGGGAGCCCCCGGGGCTCCTCCCTCTCCACAGCCCTCCCCTAGGCTGCGTGTCAAATTGGAGAGTAGAAAGGTGAGCCCCCAGGACTGTGGGCTCCCCTTCCTTCCCTCTGCTCCGGAGGAGGCCACCATGCAGGGCTCCTCTGCTGGGACCCCATGGAGCCCCGGCGGCTGGGGCAGAGAATAGCGGGGCAAGCAAGTTTCCTTCGTATGACGTGCTTTTTAAAGAAACAGAAGCTCTCTTAAAAAACCTTAATCTCCTGAGCTGACAGAACTTTTTCAGAGAATGTCTTTGCTTCTTTATACATTTTAATTGTGAACTTCATAGTTGACTCATCTGGAGATCGTGCCATTTATTGGTCTCTGCTCTTAATCCTAAAAACACTGAAGGAAAAAAAAAATCCACAGTCATCTTCAAAAAGTATACATTCATCCAATCATTGAGTGAGTTTATTTCCCCTCACTTTAAGTAACATTCTCTCTCTTACTCAGGTTTTCTTCATTTCACTCGGGCAGTTTTCATTTGATAGTCATTTTGCAAAACCAAACAGGGAAACCACACTTGCGCGTACACACTCTGTCTGCTTGATTGCAAGGTCTTTATAAATAGAGTGGAACCGTATCCTGCAGGCAGCTTTCTGTAGCAGCCAGCCAACCACAGCTTCCAGTGGGATTTGCCTGCAGTTAGATTTCCTTCGGGTTCCCATCTGTCTAAGCTGTCGTTCGTGCCGTTTAAGAGTAAATAAAAACAGTGTATGCCAAGTACATTTTTTCAGGTGTTCCTTCTGAACCGAAATTTTAAAGTGGGCTCAGGCTCTAGAATTTTCCTGGCACATGTGTGAATCGCTGGGTCTGATCTCAGTAATTCAGTGAGCATCTGTGGCTGTGTCAATTTTAAATTTATACTTAAATAGTGATGGAACCAATGCAGGGGCAGCCCTGAGGCCATGAGGAGCTGCTGTGCTGGGGGCGCCCAAGAAGGGAGAGTTTCCCAGTTGGAGAGTTGGGGTGTGTGCTTTAGGACTTGGCGGACGGCATCCACAGGACGCTCCTGTTGTAAAGAAAGAGCCCCTGCCTGAGGGCCCCTGACTACTGTCTGCTTGTTCACAGGGGGCCCACGGTGTTGCATCCAAGTCAGGACAGAGCTTGGGATTCTAGGCCCCAAAGGGACGACTGCGCCTTGCAGTGACACTTGTCATCTCCGCACCAGCCTGGTGTGCCCGAATCTCCCAGGCCCCTCCGCGGCCTTGGGGCCAGCTGGGGATACCCACGCCTTGTTGCCCATCGTGGGGACGATGGGTGGGACCCTGCGGGAGGTGGCGAAGAAAGGTGCCGGGATGTGGGAGCTGACTGGGGGACGTTCCTCACGCTCACTTAGCTGGTGGCCCGAGGCCCTGGGCTCTTCTGCTCTGATAGTCGTCACTCACCACATGCTAAAGGCCTTTGTCTAGAGGAGAAATTGTGTCTTACGGCTATCTGCCTCAGCCTCCCCTACCAGGGCACACTGTGCCTCCGGCCCAGGCCCGTCACCCCCCAGGCTGGCCCTCGGCCGTCACCAGTACACTTCGACCTTCACACGACCCCTGTTTCTTCTCCCCAGGAGAAGGAGCCAGTTCTCTTCCACGGCTCCACAATCCCTCACCTCAGCCCCACTCCATTCCTCGAGTTCTTCAAGGGATGAGGGCCCCCATCATTCCCCCCAGACCCAGAACGACGGCATATGGGGCTAGAGGGTGACTGAGCCCCCTCCCGTCTGGTTTGTTCAGGTCTCACACTTGTGCCAGACTAAGCTGACCCCGCCTTCAGCAGTTGGGCCTGGGACTCAGGTAGCCTGGTCCCGAGCCATGTCCTTGCTCTGTCGAGGGATGGGGTTACAGCAGGCCCAGGACTTGCCTTTGGTGGCTCAGTCCACGTGGCAAGAGAAGGTGTTCTCCCAAGGCAGCTTGAGGCGGCGATGAACGGGCGCAAGACGGGGACTCTTCAGCTGCTGGGGAGTCTGTGGGTGGGTGTGTCAGCACCATTGTCGGCAGTTTTCTGGGAAAAGAATGCGTGGCCTCACTTGATTCTGAGGGCAATTTGCGGCCCACAGGAGGTCCCAGGACCTTACAGTGGAATATCCAAGAGGTGAGTGAGGTGTTGGTGGCAGGAAAGAGTCGTCAGGGTTCAGCTTGGTTACTAGGATTCCACGCCCTTGAGGGATGCAGGAGGCTGAGCCAGGCACCGAGCAAACAGGGATTTGGTCAGGCCAGCCCAGGAGGCGACATGCCGCAAAGGCCCAGCTGGGGTATGTGGCCAGATGGCCGGGAAGGCCATGGGAGGGAGCTCCCGGAGCCCAGGGACAATTGTCACCCACCTACCCCTCAGCACACCGTGCACCCACACTGCGGTGGGCATCTGGCATCGCAATGGTGATGGAGGACATAATCTCTTCTAGTGTGGCTTCTTTTAAGGAAGAGGTCTGGGGTGTCTTATTTGAGACTCCTTTCACCAAAATATCTTTTGGCACTGAGGCTGTGGAGTCGTTGCTTCAACTCAGAGGAAAGTCTGAAACCTTAATCTTTTATTAGTTGTTGTTTGTTTTTTTTAATTTGCTCATGTTTCCATATTTAGGTTTAATTTTTGTTTATCTCATTAACCAAGCATCCAGTTTTGAACCACAGTAGCCTGACTGACTTGACTTTTGCTTTTCAGTTTTAAAAATCCTTGCAGTTTTTCCCCTAACTCCATTTCTGTTGGTTTGTTAAAAAGGTTTGTCCAGAGGGGTTGCGTTTATCCGGTTTGACAAACGGTCGGAAGCAGAAGAGGCAATTACCAGTTTCAATGGTCATAAACCCCCAGGTTCCTCCGAGCCCATTACAGTGAAGTTTGCAGCCAATCCCAACCAGAACAAAAACGTGGCGCTGCTCTCCCAGCTGTACCACTCGCCAGCTAGGCGGTTCGGAGGCCCCGTTCATCACCAGGCGCAGAGATTCAGGTGGGTCAGGAGGACGCGCTCTTCCCACCATGGCCACTCGGGCCCCTTCTGGCTGCACGGAGCCCTGCTGGTTGGGTGACTATGTGCAGTGGAAACCTCTGGGCTGATCACATCAGAAAGTCGCGCTCACGGCCATTTCATGTCTCCATGTCCCCCACCTGCATCAGAAAGGTATCTGTATGGAAGCTGTTTATTTCCATCCAAGTGTTGTCTTTAACTAGAATGAAAAAGGTAGTGCAGCTCCAACCAGCTCCCAGGAGAGTGAGTGCATAGCGCTGCAGCCCGCAGTTTCTAGTGATATTTGAGTAGACTCATGAGTTTAAAAGATCATCCCGTATCTGGGAGAGAAAAGATGCAGCTTTAGGGGTGCTTAGGCAAGAGCCGTTCTTCCAGAGTTTTAAACAGGTTTTAGACACTTGATCAGCAGCCCTAAGGCAAACCTTTCTCATACACCTACCTTGTGGAGTCATTTGGTGTCTAAATATTATTACATGCCTTCTGTTTAAAAGCTGCATCGTAGAGGTGAACTGTTTTCCCACCTTCGTTAGTCTTTCCATATAAAATGATTCTAGTCGCCAGGATCTAGCAGAACAGACACAAGTAGAGTCAGTAACTTGGACTCTGAAATCAGGTGTGTTACTGCCTCACGAACAGCTGAGATCCCACTTCTCCCAGTTTTGAGAAGTGGCATGAGGGCTAATCTCAGGTATGTTAAGGATTTCTCTCTGCGACTTTTCAGGGTTCCCGTCTTTGTTTTAAGCAGTGAGGTTGGGTAACACCCCGCTCATTTCCACAGATGCTGTTTTTCAAGGTCTTATTTTCACAGTCCAGTAATCCAGGGTTCTCAACTCAGCTCAGGTTCCAAAGCTGGCCTTCCTTCGTTGGCTCTTCTGGTTTAAGGGCAAAGCAGGGGAAGCGTCTTTGGACAGAAGTGAGCTAAATCCAGTTTTGAAAGTCAGCATGGTCGGCCTCACTGGTGATCGGGTGGGATGTATAGATAGCCAAGTTCAGTGAGTTACCCAGGAACTCTGGAAAACCAGGAAGCTTGGAAGAGAAGAGAAAGGAGAAATGGGAGGTGCAGAAGGGGCCAGGCAGGAGAGGGACCGTGACCTCCAGAGATGGACGGAAGGAAGGGGCGGGCGGGAAGGTTTGCCACCAGAAGGCCGACTAAGATAAGAATAAGAAGAAAGAAGACCCAGAAGAGGAGGGGGTTTGCAGTCCGTTCTTATCCTGTTGGGAAAAGTCCCCAAGTCAAGGAAGAGTCAGTTCTCCTCTTGCGCCATCAGAGGAAAGAATGGGGGTGAGTTTCATGACAGTTGAGATGAAACAGATCAGCTCCAACTAGCAGGAGAAAACTCACAAGAATGAATAAGAATGAGAATCATGTCAATAAAAGACAGTAAAATATTACCTCAGATTATTTTCAGTATAATATCTATCTCAATATTTAGTTAACTATGATAACTTGGGTCCGCCGTGTCCTAAAAAACTTGGAGAAAAGGAGGTCCTTTTAAAAGTCAGAATGTCTTTCCATTTCTCACTGAAAAGCAGCTCATACAGATACTTGGGTGCCTTTTCCCACCCCCATTTCAATGATACTGTGGTCTCACCACTAACAAGCCTCCTGAGTCATCTAACCAATTCAGACATTTGGTACGGGCTGTTTAAAATTATTCTCGCAAATTCAAAACCATGGCCCACAGTGTGCCTTGATTCTTCTGTACCTGCATCAGCGATCACCGTTGTGTCAGTGGTCTGCACCTCGAGGGCTGGCCACTCTTCTGCCATGTGTGCTGAGTGCGTGAATCTGATTAGTGGCACTTGAAAGCACCCCCACTCACCCCTGGATCAGACCCACAACTCGAACCTGATTTTATTTTGGAGCAGGTAATACTTCTCCAGTTGCATTGTGTGGCTTCAGAGATGCTGTGTCGTGCTCAAATATTCTTAAATTGATCCTCCAACAGTTACTTTTGAGCTTGTGAAACATCTCAAGGGCCACGTGGCTTCAGTAACAATCTTGTCATCTCCCTTAATCCTTATTGCCCACGACTTGTAGAAGGCTTATTTTTGATGTGACTAAAAGTGGTGCTTTAGAAAGGGGCTCCACATTTTTGGTAAAGCTTGGTGGACTTACAGTTCACAGCCCTGGGCCTTCTGGGCTGTTAAGAGCCAGCAGTGGAAGGGTGTCCGGAGCTGTGCCCTGCCGGCAGTGGCCCTTCACAGGAGTGTGCTATATGTACGCACCGCTCGGACGTGAACCCTCGGAGGGTGAGGGTGCTGATGTGGGTGGGGATGGGGTATAAAATTCAGAGAAAGAAAAGAAAAAAATTCAGCCCTCTCCCCACCCCCACCATACCCCCGCAAACACACATACAGACACAGACACAGGATGAGGAACGGTTTCCTCCAGGGAGAGCTGGGGGTGTAACAGCACCTCGGAGGATGTGGAGAAGGCTTCCATCACTTAAAATGTGGGAGGTACGGGTGTGACTCAACAGGACCACCCCACCAAGGTGGGAGGGGTGGAGGGAGCGGCTGGTCGGAGGCCACTAGAGGCCGTTGGCTCTGAGGCCTGACCCCCTGCAGGCAGCAAACGTTGACTCCCTACAGAGCAGGGAGCCCATGCCCTCCCTCTGCCCCCAAATTGAGTTCCTCTCAGTTGAAAAGTCCTGATTTTGACTGAGTGGGGTGTGTCAGCCCGAGCGCCTCACATGGGCTGCGTGCAGCTCGCTGGCCCGCACTGACGTTGACCTGAATGCTGTGCTCTCTGTTTGCTAGGTTCTCCCCTATGGGTGTAGATCACATGAGTGGGCTTTCTGGTGTCAATGTCCCAGGCAACGCTTCTTCGGGCTGGTGCATCTTCATCTACAACCTTGGTCAAGATGCCGATGAGGGAATCCTCTGGCAGATGTTTGGCCCCTTTGGTGCAGTTACCAATGTGAAAGTGATTCGCGACTTCAACACCAACAAGTGCAAAGGCTTTGGTTTTGTGACCATGACAAACTATGAAGAAGCCGCGATGGCCATAGCAAGTCTGAACGGCTACCGCCTGGGGGACAAAATCTTACAGGTTTCCTTCAAAACCAACAAGTCCCACAAATAACTCGCTCATGCTTTTTTTTGTACGGAGTAGATAATTAAGAGTGAAGAAGTTGAAACTCTTTTGTTAGTGTACAACTCATTTTGCGCCAATTTTCACAAGTGTTTGTCTTAGTCTAAATGAGAAGTGAAAAGGTTTTTATACTCTGGGATGCAACCGACATGTTCAAATGTTTGAAATCCCACAATGTTAGACCAATTTTAAGTTTCTTAAGTTATTTCCTTTAAAATATATATTAAACAGAAATCTAAGTAGACTGCATTGACTAACCAGTCCTTCGGGATGGTGGTGAAACTGAAGCATGCTTTAACTTCTGAGACTGTCTAACACGCGTTTCATTCGATGTCTCCACAAACTGGATAGAAACAAACAAAAAGAAATGACCTTTTAGTTTTCGTTTTTAAACTAAAGATGTTAGACAGATGCCTTGTGTGCGTTTCTCAACCGCTTCAACATTTTAAGCGATTTCTGCTTTGGTTGACAGGAAATTGCTTTCCCAAGCAGGTCCCATTGCCACCTCCTGCTCACTCAGTCGATTGGCCCCGGCAGTGGCAGCGGGCCCGTCTGCCGTGGGCCACAAGCGGGGAGGGGGGCCACATACCAGGCCGGGCCAGGCTCTGCCGAGGACACGAGCGGGTTTCCTAAGCCCAGGCGCCAATGGGAACGGACCAAAGAGTTTCAGGGAAACTCCAGTATATTCCAGAGTCAGATCTCAGCTCCAGGCACGCCTGAAGACGTGTTGCTCCTCTGACATCCCGATTCCTGTCCACACATTGCATGCATGGTGCCTCCACACATCAGATACTGTTGCTCACAATCATCTCTCCAGTTTTCAAGAGCATTGAACATGGCCCCAGTGCGTAAAATAGCTCTATTTTTTAATGACACAGAAACATTTGAGCATTGTATTTCTCGCATCCCTTCTCGTGAGCGCTAGGCTTTTTTCTATTTTAGTCGGATTTTGTTTTGAAACTTTGCTTTCCTATGAACACTCAGCAGAAAAGTACTTACTTCCTGCCAGTTACCTATTAACAAAAAAAAAAAAAGAAAAAAAAAGAAAAAAAACCCTTTGATTTGTAGTTTTAAAGATTAACCTTCAAAGTTCTCTTCATAACTGCCTTGACATTTTGGGTTGTTCTGTTCTGTTAATTTTCTTTTGCTTTTTTGTGTTTTTCGTTTGTTTTTACTTTTGCATTTAAGACCATTAAATTTGATTTTGTTTTGCTCGAATTTTGTTTTGTTTTTTATTTTACCTTTTCTTTCTTTTTGGCTAGGTAAGGTACAGACAGCCCAGCATTCAGGGAGGATTTATAAGATCTTAAGAAACAAACGTACTTGCCTCAAGACAAAGCATTTACAAATCTGTGACGTTAGGATTGTGCCATCACAGGTGGTGTTTTTTTTAAACGGGGAGCCGGCAGGGAGAGTCTAAGAGAGGGCCTGAGAAGTAAATAGGCAGGGCCTGATCTCCGGGCAACTCCTCAGGAGCGTGATCTGATTTTTATAAATAACCAGTGTGCAAGAGAATCAAAAACACAATAATTTAGTACCAGCAGTTTTTAACCTTGACACGAGACTAAAACGTGTAACAATAAGCTGCTTTTTAGTTATTGATGTCATGGAATTGCGGCATGATTTATCTATCTATCTATCTATCTATCTATTTAAGTGGAAGACATTGGGCAGTAGGCACAGCGTTCTCCAGAGCGGGTCTGTGTTCTGAGCAACCCCTGGACCATTTGAGGCTGCCCGTCCCCCACCCCACACCGCTTCCCTCATACTTCACTGAGGGGCTGCCGCTGCTTGTGGGATCCTCCTGAATTTCCCATGTTGCCCTCTTCTCCCACAAAGGGCCAAGTTCATACCTTGAAGCCTTGTCTTATAAGTTGGCCAAGTGCCATGCAGGGCCTCCTCTCTGCAGCAGAATTTTCCAGATTCTAAGTCAAAGCTAGCTTGCGTGCCTCTTCCTGGAACCAAGGGCCGTTTGCCCAGATTTGATGCAAAGAGGGTCCCTGCTGCGTGTGCCCCAGAGCGCTCTGCACCCCGGGACTGGGATGTTTTCCTGGAAAAATATGCCATGTAGGTTGTGCTAGCCTCGGGCCAACATCTCAGTGAAGATGAGCTTCCCAGTCCTGAGAGTGACCCTTGAGTCTCCTCGCTGACACACCATCCTGCCAGCCTGCACTAGTGTTCCATTTCCTACGAGAATTCTGTCAGAGGCCTAAACTGCGAAGTGACGGGCTCACGGCCAGCACCGCAGCTGATTTCCTCCCCTCTATTTTATTGGAACCACACTGATTATCCTGGTGCTGGCACAGACGAACAGGAAACGTGAAGCGCGTACGGACCTTTGAGAGTTGCCTGAAGTTTCTCAGTAAAATTCTCGTGTTACGTGGTCCCCACTCTTTGAACATCCTTCTGGCGGAAAACCCCAATGTGCTTCTTCGGGCGTTTTAATTTGTGAGCGTGCGGGAGGATTTTGCCTTTGACATGTTTTACTCCTGAAAAGTAATTGTCACTCCCATGGAAGTGCCAGACGCTGGCCCTGTGTCCAAAAAGTTCATTACATCTTCTCTCTAGGTCTGTTTGCAAAAGGAAGATGCCATTTTTTTAAAAGTTACAATCCAAAAGAAACCGTGTTTTAGAAAAGTTGTGTTTTTTTTTTTTTTTTTTTTTACATAGATCAATCTTATTTGTATTTCGTAAAATGAATGCTCTCCTTTTATTTGGGAATTTTGATGAAAAAGTTAAGAGTAGATGATGTTAATTTATTGAAACTTTGGTTTGGTACATAAATACCAAAGAATTCTCTTTTGATTGAATTGATTGAATTCTCTTTTGGCCTATGTAACTTCCCCTCAGAGTTGTTCACTAAGCAGCTCCAGATTTGTGAACCTGGTTCCAGTTGAGTTATCTATTGTTTATTACCCTGTGGCGCTGCCTTTCTTTAGCTTTTCGATGTGATGTGGCAAGCTGTGGTTTTCTGCACTGGCTGTGACTCTGGTCACGCGTCCTGTGACTGTGATCCCCCGGCCACCGCGGCCACCCTCTTGCCAGAATAACGGAGGAGCTGGGCTCAGCCCGTGGGCAGGTGGCGCCGGGTGGGTTTCACCTTCTTTGTCCCCCGAAAGGTGAGTCTTTCCCTTGCCAAGGGCAGCTGCCTTAACCTCCGAGAGTCTGCACTTGGTATTAGTGCTGGAAACCCAGGGTCTGAACCACGTTGCTTAGGGAGTTGGCCCTTCGGGAGCTGGCAGCTCGAGGGGAGCCCTGCCGGATCAGGCAGATGAATCCCAAGACACTTACTGGCAATAACTTATCGCTGGTTTGCCTCCAGACTAGGTCCATGGACTGACCCCAGTCGCTGTTGGCCTTGAAAATCAGAGTTCACGTCTCCCAGCTGCCCCATTTCCCATCCGATTTGGCCTGACCGAATCGGACTTCTCTGTGCTTTCCGCACCCATCCTGGGTTGGATCACAGAGAGTGAGAATAAGCTGCTGGGGGCCTCTCTTCCCCATAACCCCAACCCTCCATCTGAAATCCTTTCCATCTTCCCAGGACCCGCGGTACCTCCTGGGCCCTGAGGCAGCTCCTCAGGAAAACACCTGCTGCTCATCAGATTCCCAGGCCCGGCCCCCACCCGAAGCCCCACGTGCTTTCCGTTGAGCGGCATTGAGAATGGACAGTCCTACGGTAGCTAGCGGTAGGGCCCCCGGCAGGGTTCACATTTCCACACCTTTTGATTGGACTCTGACTTCTAATGATTGTATTTTCCCACAACCTTTTGGTGACAGAGTTCAGTTTTCTGCTTGGTAGTTAAAATAAATAAATAAATGACTCCTTGTAAGTCCCCGTGAGGACCGAAGTTAGGCTGACCAGTGGTTTGCAGCGACTCGGTAGGACTGTTTTCACTTCCACCAGGAGAGAAGGCTTGTCTGTTGGTTGGGGCCACCTCTTTACCATGTAACGTTCCGTTTACAGTGATTTGCTCGGGGGGGCACTTTCCCAGCTGGTTCCCATGTTGTACAGTAGATGGGTAGACCTTTTGTATATTAGTGTGTTTTAAGTTATTGATTTGTTTTATATAAAATAATTTATTTTTCAGGTACCATTTTTCATTTTAACTTTGTTTTTACATGGGTTTGTTTTCAATAAAGTATGACACTGCTGTCCAAAAGTCAACAATAAAATGAATCCCATTGTGTTCTTTGGAGGATGCTTATGTAACTAGCCTTTTTTTTTTTTTCCCTTTTTTTTTTTTTCCTTTTTTTTTTTTTTTTTTTTTTTTTTTTTTTTTTTTTTTTTTTTTTTTTTTTTTTTTTTGCTTTTCAGAAGAAAAAAAAAGTCCTTCTCAGTTTTCCATCTCCCCAAGTTTGCCTTTTTATCCTTGTGAATAAATGTTCTTTAGTGTTTTAGGAGGAAAAAGCAAACCTAGATTTTGATAATCCAGAAGATTTCAGATTAATAAAGAAGCTTTGAAAGAAGACCATTTTTCAAAATTTTAGTGAAGTGTGAATATTTTTTGTCAATGGCTTTCTCAAAGAGAATGAAACTTTTGCACCATTTTCAGAGTTTTTATAGAGATGCCAAATTGATATATTTACATGTAATGGAAACATGAAAAAGTTTTATTAAACAATTGTTCATAGCTGTGTAGACATTTTAATTCAGTTTCCAAAGCTCTCAAAAGTGTATTTTTGGAGTACGGAGTGATAATGGTTTGGGGCATTACGGTTCCAAACGACTCGATTGTCCGAATACTTAGTTCTTTTCACAGGTATCAGGTTTGTGTTAAACGCTGTATGTTAACTATGACTGGACCTCTGTGATATTTTGGTAATAAATGAAGTGGGATCGTTGAGACACGGTGGTGTAGGGGTGATGGTGTGTGACTCGTAAGCAGCCATCGCCGAGTGACGCGCCAGCCAGGGCCACAGGTGACTTGCTCCTTCCTAGGTGAGCGTGAGCTGCCCCTCACCAGGCTCTGTTCCAGGCCATGGCCTTGACCCATGTGGGGAAGGAGGGAGCCCTCAGACAGCCCAGCCTGGCGGACGGAGAGGAAGGCACCAGGACACGCCCTGTGACTGGCTCCCCCACCTCCCTCTGCCCCTGCCCAGATGCTGGCCTCCCCGCTGGACGCACTCACAAATCAGCCCCCTCCCCCTGGAGACCCAGGGACCCCTCTTCTCCAGGTTCAACGGTCCCTGGGCCTCCTGTCTTGTCGCTGAGTGTTGCCTGTCTGTCTGCTCCCCACACCTGAGCCCCTGGCCATTCCAAATGTCTTCTGACACTAATCTCCTCAGGTGACGGAAGGTGAGTTCGAATTC